TGAATTGAACTCCCCCAAGTCTCTTGTCCCACAGAGAGGTGGGCAGCTACAGAAGAGGAGGAAGCCTGCTGTGGTGAAGAGAGCTCAGGATCACCAACACCTGGGTTCCCCTCTTAGCTCTGCAACTTCCTAGCTGTGTGATATTGAGCAAGTTGCTTACCCTCTCTGGTTCTCAGCTCCCTCTTCTGTGAAATGGGGATGATAACTGCTACTTCTCTGGGCCGCTGGGTGGATCAAGTGAGTAATGTACATGCCTAGCACAATGCCTGGAACATTTAGGTACCCAGCAAAGGATAGTTTCCCAACCCCCTCCCCTCAGCCCCACATTTCTTCAAAGGAGTCCGCTAGCAGGGGCAATCAAACATCAAAGATGGTCCCAGAGTATGGGCCCACATCCTCAGGGCCCCTTGGGGCTAACTAAGGCTGAGATGTAGTCTGGTCAAGAGCTGGCAGACAGAAAGATCTGATTGAAGCTGAACAGATCCAGGTAGTTAGTGGGGAGTTGGCAAGGGAGGTAAGACACCAGGGTCTGGGAGTTTCCATCTAGGGGAAGTCCCAGGTGTGGGTGCACGAGTGCCAGGGTGGCCCCACCCAATACCCTGGCTCCAGGGGATATGGGCACAGGGAGGAAAGTGGGTCAGAGCAGGGCTGGAGCTTAACCCCACTGGTCCCATGACCTCTTTGTTAGCTCTGGAGGAGGACATGTAGCCACAAAGAAGTCTGCTCCCTCATCCAAAGGGTCCTCAATTCCATTTCTTCAGAAAGGAAGAACCTTGAAAACTTGCGACCTGGAACTGGAAGCCCCCCAGTGGACAGAGGAGAGAGAACCCCCTAAGCCCTGAATGGAGGAGGTTCTGTACAAAACAGACTGCGGCACCCACCCACATGGTGACTAGCAGACACCTGGAGCACTCACCTCACATACACTCTAGGCAACCGTGGAGGCAGACAGACACGATCTAGTTCCAGGTGTAGGACAGGTCAGGGCTGGATCTCAGGGAGGTGGGGTGCATGGTAGAATAGCTCAGAGGAGCCTCTGGTGAGACTCCAACTGGGCAAATGCAAGCACCCCTCACCCTGAGGGCTTTGCCAAAAACATGGGGCCATGTTTTCTGTGTATAATCTTAGGCCTACACCTATGGATTCCTCTTCCCTATATGTGCCTCTGGTTCCTTTTCTGGAGGAGCAGATGAAGGAATGGGTAGAATCATTTCAGGGCAAGGTTACCAGGTGATGCAGGGTCCTGCTTTGGTCATTAGGAGGTGCTTACCATCCCTCCTTGGTAGAATATCCAAAGCTAGGTGGGGAGCGGGAATAGAGGGTTCCACTTCTTTCTGGGGGAGCAGGGTGGCTGGGAGCCAGGACCTTGATTCCAGGGCCTTTATACATACTCTTCTGCTGCCCTCCCTTCTCTCCACTCTCCCCCTCACTCTTTCCCAGAAGCCTTTCTTGATCTCCTTGGCTGGGGGGAAATCCTGCTACTACCCATTCTCATTGTACCTTATGCTTTTCCACACTGGTTATCACTTGCAATTTTGTGGATTATTGGTTAACATCTGACTCTTCCCCCAGACTCCAGGCCTGCAAGGACAGGAACCGTACCTGGGTATTTCCCGGGCCTAGCACAGTGCTTGGTACACAGTGGATGCTTAATAAAGATTTGTTGAATTCATGAAAGGTGCATGTTTAGGGAAGAAATTCCTAGAGTTGTTTATGCTAGTTCTAAAATCTTGTGTTTTTCAAAATCAAAGCTTTATGCTATGTGGGGATCTGGCCAACACTGAGGCTGGTAAGGACCTTCCATACACAAACTCATTCACCAAGAGAGCCAACAAACCAGCAAGCAGCAGAATAGGCCTGGTAGAAGAGGTGGAATTGAGCAAGTATCCCGGGTAGGGCAGGCACCAACTTTGGCACAGAGCAGGCCTCGGGGAGGAGGTGGGAGAGGAGGGGAGGAAGGAAAAGGAGAAGAAAACGTGTTGTACAAAACATGTTTTCGTCACACTCTCCCCGGATGCCCTGGTCTCCAAGCCCCAGTGGCACCTTCATGCCTTAATGATGTCCTTGGGGGTTGTAACAGAGCTCCCCCAACCTCCTGCAGACATCTGCTAGCCACCTCTGAGTATGGCATAGGTCATCCCCCCAATACCAGACTGGGCATAGGAAAATTACCTGTTCAGTGTCCTGATGCTGGTGTGGAGAGGGCAAGGGTGAAAATTTGGGGTGGGGCAAGATAGCAAAATCAGGGCAGGTGGGACAAATATCTGGATTCTTTCTCTCTTAGGATCTCTCCCGCTGATCTTTGTGATGAGGGGAGCAAAGGAAGCTTGTTCCTAGGGCCCCCAAGATACCATTTCTCTAAGTTGCCAGAGTGACCAAGTAGAGCCACCACAAACAGAGCAAAGCCTTGAAATGGTGATGATTCTGGACGAGAAATGAAGGGAGCCCTCTCCACCAGTTTTCAGTGGGAGGCCCTCTTCCCAAGCTTCCTTCTGGAATCCCTGGATAGAAGACTGGCTCCATTGCAAGATGGAGAGAAGAAGAATCTGAATCCCTCACAATGCCACTCTTCCTTGTTCCCCAGTCCTGTCTTGGCTCTTTAGTTTGACTTCCAAACAGCTGCAGCCACCAGACAGATCCTAATGACTGGGTCCTAGGGAGGCGTGGCAATCCTGAGGGGCGGGTCTTCCTGGGCTGCTGTCCCTGGCTGGGGACTGAGGAGGCTACCAGAAGGGCGGAGCCACAGTTACCAAGACGGGTGGATGGATAAAATACCCACCAGGGACAATGACAGGGGCAGACAGACAGACAAACCAGGACAAAGAGAAGGGCAAAGACAGATGGAATTCCAGACCTGCTCTCTCTTTCCAGGCTACTCCAAGTGTTTTGTCCCCCGTTTTAGCTTCCCTGTCCCCATCTGCTAGACCAACTGCACAGTCTCAGAGCTCTTGGCCTAGGGACCTGCCCCTGAGCCCCTCTAAGAAAAAGAAGGGAAGAGTTGAGAGAGGAGAGACCCAGCAGGGAAAGCGTCATGGGGGTGGTGCCTGGTTCTGTGTCAGGATGCCCAGCCAGGGGCCCAGGAGGGAGTGGTGCCCTCGCCTGGTTCATGAAGACAGGAGACTCATTCACTGTAAACCAAGTACAGATGTGCTGGGAAGGGGTGGGGGTGGGGGAATCAGGGCCACATTCACAAACCGCAGCTGGGCCCACCCTATAGGCACCACCACCAGGGCAGGAGGGGTTAACTTTGAAGCCTCCTGGCAAGATCCCTACCCCACAGGCGGGGGTGCCATCCCACCCCAGCGTGGACATGGACGCCTGGGTCCAACTCCCTGACACCTACCCCTCCCACACTGCTGAGAGCTGCTCCCAGGGTAACCAAGTAAAGTCAACAGCAGCCAGGCCACCTGGGGACAGGACCCTGGAGTCCCTATTCCCAGCTCTTCGCACCCCTGGAGTGAAAAGGAGGGCCTTGTCTGCACCTCCATTGATGTCTCCTGTTCTCTAGAGATAGCCACAGCATGCCCCTTCTTTCTCCCTCTCCTTCATCTGACTCTGGCTACCAAAAGTGGCCTTTCCCAGGAGGGAGGACACATGGCCCCCAGGGTGGCAGTGAGGACAGAGCAGAGTAATTCCAGTATGGAAAATGTGACGTGACCAGGAGTCCATGTCTCCATTGCTGGCCACCCAGGGATCATTACCGGGAAGGTCCTTTGGGTGCATCTCTCCAGCCTAGCCCAGCCCCTGCTACTGTTCCCCTTCTCCACTTTCTCACTTCCACTCCTAGTTCCTGCGGGTGTGCTTGGGGTCCATTCGCAGAGTTTGGACTTCAGACCCCTTCTTTTCTCTTGCTCTGTCTTCAGTAGAATGGAGACTGATACCCTGGGTTCCAACTCTAGGACTGAGAGAGAATGCGGTGGTCATGATGAAGTCAGAGCATGTCCCAGTCAGACGCTTACACTGACTCTGGCTGAGCAAGACTGTGGCGCGCGCGCGCGCGCGCGCGCGCGCAC